TGGGTCAAAGCCATGAATGCGGAAATCAATTCGATAAACAAGAATAATACTTGGGCTCTCGTGAACAAGCCTATGGGGGTGAAGCCAATCGGACTCAAATGGGTGTTCAAATTGAAGAAGAATGCAGACGGCACCATTAATAAATATAAGGCAAGGTTGGTTGCTAAAGGTTACGTGCAACAACCCGGTATTGATTTTCAAGAAGTATTTGCTCCGGTAACTTGAATCGAAACTATCCGACTTCTTATAGCTTTATCCGCAACTAATGGGTGGGAGCTTTACCACTTAGATGTTAAAACGGCGTTCTTGCATGGAGAATTGAATGAAACCGTTTACGTGTCACAACCGGAAGGCTATATAAAGAAAGGCAACGAGCATAAAGTATATCGTCTTACAAAAGCAYTATATGGTCTAAGACAAGCACCTAGAGCATGGAACACGAAGCTTGACGGGATTYTGAAGAGCATGAAATTTCAAAAGTGCATGAAAGAACCATCGGTGTACCGGAAAATTGAAGGAGCTAACTTGCTAATTTTAGCAATTTATGTTGATGATTTATTTGTCACAGGTACAAATTTGAGCATGATCAATAGGTTCAAATTTGAGATGTCCAAGAACTTTGAGATGTCGGATCTTGGAAGATTGACTTATTACCTTGGCATTGAAGTTAAGCAAGAAGATCAGGGATTACTATAAACCAAGAAGCATATGCTCGACGCATTTTGAAGGAAGCCGGTTTACATGATTGCAATCCGACCCACATTCCCATGGACCCCGGAAGTAAATTGTCAAAGTCCGAAGACGAACCTGAAATCGACCCAACACAATATCGAAAGGTGGTAGGATGCCTTAGATATCTCTTGCAAACAAGACCCGATATGGCATATGCGGTTGGGGTTGTTAGCCAATACATGCAAAGCCCAAGAGAATCACATGGCGGTGCAATCAAGCAAATCCTACGGTACTTACGGGGAACAATGGGATACGAAATCAAGTACGAGAGGATGGGACAAAACCGACTCATTGGTTATAGTGATAGTAGTCACAATGTTGACCCGGATGACGGAAAAAGCACAACCGGTCACATTTTCTACTACGGGAAATCTCCGATAACATGGTGTTCACAAAAGCAAGATATTGTTGCTTTATCATCTTGCGAGGCGGAGTTCATGGCGGCCATGGCGGCTGCATGTCAAGCAATATGGCTTCAAGATTTGCTAGGAGAAATCATGAACAAAGCACAAGAGAAGGTGGTTCTAAGAGTTGATAACAAGTCGGCTATCGAACTAACGAAGAATCCTGTTTTTCACGGAAGGAGTAAACACATTCACACGAGGTTTCACTTTATTCGCAATTGTGTTGAAAACAAACAAGTGGAGGTGGAGTACATTCCCGGTGAGGAACAAAAGGCGGACATTCTCACAAAACCATTGGCTCGAATCAAGTTCAAGGAGATGAGGAGCTTGATTGGRATCGAAGAYGTCTCTAGAAGGACTTAGAGATTCGGGGGTGATTGTTGGAATCCTAAAGTCATGGRATCCAAACCCTTGGTGAACAAGCAATCGGTATATAGAAACAAAAGAATAAGTCAGGTTTCTAGTTTCCTAATTAGAGAGTTTCCTAATTAGAGAGTTTCCTAATTAGAGAGTTTCCATATTATAGTCTAATACAAGTCGGTAATTAGATCTATATATACATGCCTTAATCGAGATTTAGGATTATGAATTAACAATTGTAAACAGTCGGTTTTGAGCTATTTTCCGATTAATCAAAGCATGGTTTGATTTATTGTTTGCAATTACGTTCTTATTAAACTTTACGTTAGCGTTAACAGCAGTTCCCCGCGTGGTGCCTTTGTCGACCACAAACTCTCCCAACCGTGGGTTGTTCCAGTCCGACAAACTGTTGTGATCGATGCATTCTAGAAATGGTGCCTTGCTAGATGTGGGAAGAGTTGTATTGAATGTCATCGGAGTCAAGTTCATGCACTTCAAAAGTACTTAGCAAACGGGTAAATAAACCGTCATAGATAAGACTGGAACTAGACCAGGTGGTGACCTCCTCAGGCATGGCACATCGTTAATAATACAATATAGCAATATGCATTTATCCCTTGATAGGGTACTTCCATGAGTTGTCGACATAATATTATGCCTGACAAACTGAAACCAAAGACTAGAATGGAAGTCTAAGTGTCCTAATTGAATCATGTTGCGTTTTCCCTCTAAGGTCCAAACAAAATCAAGCAGTGTTAGGGTGGAGGCAATCTCCCGATCTTGATCGACAGTGGTACCCTTGGTTATAAATTTAGCAAAAGAATACTAGTTTGGAGGCTCAAAACCGAGGGTTGAGTTGATTGTAGAACTAGAATAAATCACATGTCACCCGAGAACAGTGACCATATCCCTATTTGTTCCTATGAAAGCTGCGAAAAACTCACGGATCAAAGTAACATTCATTCGTTACCCATTGGTGTGCCACGAGGTGGAGTACCCTTCAACCAAAGAGACATTAAAACTACATTCAACTAACAATTTCTTAGAGAGAAGGTTGCATACCTCTCCTGAATGGGTGGGGGTGGTGGTGGTGGTGGTGGTGATGGGATGGTACGAGGTTTATGCTTCCGGCCTCCGCCAGAGGCAACACAATGGGAAATTTCTTCAGCCTGAGGATCATAAGGACTATCAACGTCAACCGGTTGCTTCGTCAAGTTGTCAGTGGGAGAGTCTACTGCTCATAAGTAAAGATATAATGAAAGAAAAGAAATACTAAAATATCAATGGCATCAAATGAAAAGTTGCCACTATGGTCATACACCATTCACCATACTGGTGAACAGAAAGTGTATATCGCAGAATTTAAACTAATTAAAAATTAAATACAAGAACAAAGTAATTCTCAGTTGAATCTCGATGGTGTATGATACTCGCCCAAGCCCTCTTTATATAGGTGAAGAGATGAAAGAGACTTGAGGGGAAGAAATAGGTGAAGAGATGAAAGAGACTTTATCTTCTAATTCAAGTTTTTTCCCATTTTCCTTGTCTCCTTTCTCTTCATGTTCATGAAATCTCGCCATAATGACTTACAGATTCAAAATCCGACTTTTCAGCTATTTCTCGACTTTATGAATGATTTAGACCAATGAAATATTAGAAGACTCAAAGGGGTATTTGGATGGGTAAATGGAGCGAAAATGGGTTTAAAAAAGTGACAAGTAACTCTAAGAATTTAAAGTTATCACCAGGTGAGCTGAGATAAGCATGCATAGAAAAAACATCTCTTTCATCCATGTATAATTAGTAATTAATGATTAAGATTTAGATGGGCTTAGGATTCGTTTGGCAGGTTCGGATGGAAGGTATGCAAACCCAACATGAAACCTACAATCCTACATAAAATTTGGTTTTCGATTTTCGGGTTTTACTAAAGATCGAGTATCGGTTTTTTCCATAAATTTTGGTCTGGCTGGACGGGTTCATCGGGTTAATTTGTGT